CATCATGTTTCCTCCTCTCTGCTGAGAGCTTTGATCTACACAGTTACTGTACACGGTAAAACGGCCTTCATTTACATTTATAAACACTGATGTGAACGCTGTTATGGTGAGTTTTAACTTTTCAATACCCAACGAAGGTTTATATTTGGTATTGGTTGACAACAATTCAATTCAATTCATTTGTACAGCCAAAAACCATGAATCACAAGTTTGCCTCAGAGGGCTTTACAACCTGTACACATACGACATCGTCTGTCCCAGGACCCTCACATCAGAACAGACTCCCGAAATAAACCCTTTAATGGGGAGAAAGAAAAGGAAGAAACGTTATGGAGAGCAACAGAGGAGGGACCCCTCTGTCAGGGTGGACAGAGGATAGATGTCATGTGCACAGAATGAACAACATAACAGAGTTACAACACATTCAATACTTATATAATAAATGATTCATATAACGAGAGTAGTAAGCAGAGTTACAACTACTAATAATGGTAGCAGTAATAGAAATGTGACTAATGATAAAAGTGGGTGTCAGACCGGGCCACGGTCCAGGTATAACCACGGGGTATGGAAGCCTGCGAGGCCAGAATGAAAGAGTGAGTGACAATGAGTGAAGTGAAAGGGTTCAAATTCACCAAAGATTCTGAAACAAACGCAGGTGTTTTCCCATTAAATGTTATTGATCGACTAAAAATAGAGCCAGTGTGATGGAGAAATGACAGGTGTAACAACAAATAAGAAATTGATTCGAGGAAAGACAGGAAGCGTTTTGTAGATTTTTATCAAGTCAGAGAAAAGGATGAATCCAAACGTCCATATTTTCTGAAATGATAATTGAAATCGACATGAAGAATCCTTAGTTCTAGTCAGTTCATTTTTTGATTTGTTTCCGGTTTCAACTAAATACTTTAAAGTCACGTTAAGTTGAGTTTTGGATGAAAACTTTTTTATTTTTGTCCACATATTGATGTTTTATCTCCAGTGTAGTTTGATATATTTCAGCTCATTCTGTATGATGACTCTCTCTGTGCTGATATGCATGAGAGGCTTCTTAAAGGGAAGTGAAACAATGTGTCAGTGAGTGACTGGTGGAGCAGAAAGAACATCTGACAGAAACCCCTTAAAGGAGGAAATCACCTCTCTCACAGTGAAGGTGTCCAAGTGTCTGGTGTTTGATTGACAGCTGTGTGGTCCCTGTCCTCTAAGCTGATTGGTGTCCTCTAGGTGATGTCCGTCCCACCCTGACGGTGCTGCCCCCCAAAACCAATAAAGATTATAATAATATATCAAATCAGCTGTGTCCATATATTACACAGATAACTGCTGCTGTCTTCAGTGGAATCTGGAGATTCAAAGCATTTTACAACTTCTTATATTTTGTGACACAAAGTATCAAAACACAGTCGGAAGTAAAGCAATGATTATTCCTTTACACGTTCTCATCTATAGTGTCTGTACAGTGCTGCTCTCCTGTGGAAATGTTATGGTACTACACTAGATAGATAGAAAGATGGACGAATGGACAGACAGACAGACAGACAGATAGACAGATAAGATAGTAAAAAAAAACATTCCTCGTATCTTTTGCTTGCAAATAACTTTATATTTTCATGTCATTTACATTTATTTACATGAATCAATATATAAAACATTTTTCCTCTCTTCCTCCCTCTCTCTCTCCCTCTCTCCCTCTCTCTCTCGTTGCAGGATATCTCTGTGGGTGAAGTTACTGACTGTCATTCATGTGTGAACACTAAACGTTTAATCATGACAACAATAACTCTCAATCTTCACCAAACCTCGACCATCGAGGAGCGGCTGTAACCTGTAACCCTGTCTCCTAGAAACGACGTTGACACAGCACATTATTATTTACAAGTGAACAGTAACACGGCACACAGACAATTTTGTGTCAATTTAAAGAAACTTTGTTGAATTTATCTGCAAAACATTTTACTGAAGATTTCTGTCCTTGCTTTACAAATAAAACCCGTACCTACTAAAGGCTGATCACACTTTTTAAATCATCTTTAGGTTTTATTTATTAAGAGTTTCACACTCAAATACTCAACTCAAAATCAGATTTATTTTATTCAAAGTGAGCCCCGATCCACGTGAAACCAGTGAGAAGAGCACAGAGCAGAGACAAACATCGGTCATGTGAAATCATTAAAACCTTTAGTGTGTTTCCATGAAAGGAACCTTCACTCATGAGCTGGTTGAGAAACTATAGTGTTCAGGCCTTTGAGGGAAACATCTCGGTCTTGGTTTCATGGAGGAGAAGTCAACAGTGAGACGGGCCTCGTTTGACAATTGAACCCTTGATTCAGTCTCCAAAAAGAAAGTCTCAGTTGTGAATATTTATGTGTTTTCTCTGCATATCATCGCATTGTTTTGTTGGACAAAAAAAAAGACATTTCACAACATCAAATTGGACATTATACTATAGTCTGATACTTTATAAACTAAACAAATATTTAAAGCAATAATCTACATATTAATCGATTATAAAAACAAAAAACAAAATTCTAAGGAGACAGGGTTGCCTGCAGATATATCTGCATATATATCAATATCTATACGACAATATCATCTCGATATCGAGGTATATATTTGGTGAAAAAATATCATGATATTTAGATTTTCTTTTCTCCATATCGCCCAGCCCGGATCTGAAGGATCTGTCTGCTCCTCTTCTATCTATCTCCTCCTGCCTCTCTTTCCTCCCTCCCTCTCCTCCCTCCCTCTCCTCCTCCTCCTCCCTCCCTCACTGCTCTCCCTCCTGCTGTCCGTCTTTGTTGATGACGTTTTTGAAGAGCGTGAGCAGCGGCCTCTGGCTGCGCTCGTCCCAGCTCTTCATGAAGCCGCCGTAGCGCTTGCTGGCCGGCGGGCCGCTCCAGCGGAAGTGCTTCATCTTGTAGGTGCCGTCTTTCTTCTCGTGGAGGTCACCGGGGAGCTGCTCCTGCTCCTCCGCCTCCTCCTCTGCCACCTCCTGCGCCTTCTCCTCGTCCTCCATCATCATCTTGCCGGCTAGCTCCCGCCTCCTCATCTCTCCGGGGAACAGCTCGGCCGACTCTTCCTCCACGCCGTTGGAGGCGTAGACTTTGACCGGGCGGCGCTTGCGCCCAACGGGCTTCCCCCAGCGGAAGTGCTCCATGGAGTAGGAGCGCTTGGCCTGAGGAGTGGAGGGGAAGGAGAAGGAGGAGGAGGGAGATAAAAAAGAGAGGGGAGGCAGAGACTCGGGGTCTGATGGAGGAGCAGGAGGAGGAGGGGGTTGGAGGTGGGCTGCACCCGGGATGACGGGCACCTCGGCGGTGAGGTCGGAGCGACAGTGCTTGATGCACTCCTGCAGGAGGAGAGGACAGAGATGTGTGCAGATGTTTGTAACCAGCAGAGGACAGAGAGGATGTGTGCAGATGTGTGAAATGATTTACTCATTTTAAATCTAGTCAGGTATGGGTCTGTGTGTGTGTGTGTGTGTGTGTGTGTGTGTTACCATCATGCTCGTCTCAGAGTTGACGTCCTGACAGCTCGGATGTTCCCAGCACTGACTGGCGTCTCCTCTGGCCACGCCCACCACCACCACAGCCACCAATAGCCACGCAAGACACATTTCTCTGCAACGCGTACATCGATACATTGTTATCTTTTTCTCTGTCTGTGATCAGCTGCAGTAATTTCAAAATAAAAGCTTCTCATTTGTGACACATCCAATCAACTTAATTTGTTTGGCTTTAATCTGTATTTATAAAGCCCTGATGATTGTTTTAAAAGTAAATATTATAAATGCAAATGAATTAATCATCTACAATTGAACACTACTGATCTACAATTACTATTAATATCCATGAGAACAAAACATTTTAACAATCACAATCTTTTACTGTGTTGAATGTAGGCCCACAGCTAAAACACATTTACAGCACAGCACACTAAATAAAGTTATATATTTACAAATATATATATATATATATATATATATATATGTGTGTGTGTGTGTGTGTTTCAAAATAAGAAACAGTGTGGAGTAAATATCAAACAATAAAATCCTAAAAAAACAAAGAAAAAACAGTTGACTGAAAAATAAAATACAAAGAAAGACACTTTAAAAGAAGTGATAATAAACTAGTATATTAAAAATATACAACAATGTGAACAAGTGACAGTAAATGAACTAGAACCCTGGTTCTACTGGAGAGGACATAAGTATGGATTTCAGTTGTTCTTGTTGTTTTCTTGTAATCATGAACATATTTTTACTGCTAGCACAAAAATCCACTCAAACATTTCTCTACGTTGGGTTGACGAGATTCAAATATCATACCCAAGAAAACTGTTTTAATTTTCCCCTCTGGTTTCAGATGACGTGTTAACGTGTTATTAAATATTTTCTTTTTAATCACTGGAATTATTCTTTTATGATCACAAGATAATAGCAGAACATTACTACTTTAATGAACTTGTTCATTTAAATTGCATAATGCACCTAATGTTATGTTGTGTATGTTGAGTATTATAATACAATGATGCACAAAACTGTTTCTTATGACCACAAAAAAGCATCCAGATAGTATTATTATATTTCACATAATCACCACAGAAAGATGTTTCCTCTGTTCTCTCTTCTTACAAATATAATAGAACGTATTTTATATTTCATGTATTCACGCAGTTCTTCTTTTCATCATATCTTTAAAACTCTTTAGTTATTATATTACGTTTGCCTTTGATAAAGCACTTTGTAATCACTGTTTTGATGTGATATTGCTTATTATCAATATTATTATTATCAGTATTATTATTATTATGTTTTTCTTTTTCTTTATTTTACATTTGTCCTCCTTTTAGTTTAAAAGTTTGTTCACGAGTCGAATGTAGAAAACAGCTTTTTAATATAATTTGAATAAAGAAAAAGATCATAATATTCAGACACTCACCTCGCCGTCTCTCTCTCGCTGCTGTTTTGAGTTCGTTCAGCTGTTGGACTGAGATTTCTGTTGTTCTCCACTTTAGTCCTTCCAACTGACCAGGCGACTTTATATCCTGTCAGCCAAGGACACACACACACACACACACACACACACACACACACACACACACACACACACACACACGCGATGATGACGTCATTACCTGAAATCTCCGAATCATTTTTCTCATTCATGGTTGCAAACACACACTGCTGCATGAAAATAGACAATCAATGAAACATCATCCCCCTCTTCCACCCACACACACACACACACAATGCTCCAATGAAAACTTCCCAACTCAAAAAGCTGAACTTTCAAGGAAAAGACGCAGCTCATTGTGAAGAAAACCGAAAACTGTTGGAAAGTTCTGGTTATAAACCTGATTTATTCTTATATTCCTCCGGTTATATTAAATAAAATGTGGCTCTAGTGATTGAAATATCTCAACATTTATTAAACAGACTGCTGGGAGAGTTTGTACAGACATTCATGTTCCCCAGAGGATGAACCCCACTGACTTTGGTGATCCTCTGATTTTTCTTTCAGCGCCACCGTGAGGTTTTTTATCTCAACCATTGGACAGATTACCATAACATTTGGTACTCCTTCATCTTCCCTTCAGGATGAATTGTAATAAGAGTTTTTTTAGCGCTTTCGTCTACATTTAAATTTGTCCAAAACTTTTGTTTTTGACCAAATATCTGCAAAAGTAGCTGCATTCCCAGAAGTCTCAGCTGTACAACTGTACTGTGGTAATTAGTCAGTGTTAGCATGTTAACACGCTAAGATAGCGTCTCAATATCTCCCTCGGTTGTGTTTATATTTGCCCATTCTGCCTCCTCAGGCCCTTTCACTGCTCTTCTCTACCTGTCCACCAGATGTCCTCACACTTATCCACCTGTCCCAGTCACCTGACTCCCACATCCATCACCTGACCTGCTCACCTGTTCTCCATTTCCCTCATCAGTCCTGCAGTATTTATACCATCATCGAGTGTTTGAGGGCTCTCTCAGAGACATTTTGAGTCCATTATGAACCCTTTCTGTAGGTCTGCATTACTGCAGACTTTGTCCAAGCGAATTAACCACAAATCATAGCGATGTGATGTTAAACACTGGGTTTCCAGTGGAAGCCGGAGACTTAAGAAGAAGCCACCTGAAACTGAAAGTGCACTTGTACCTGAACTCAGAACCCTTTATCCTTTAGTGTTTTTGTTTGGATTCACAACGTTAACCACGTGTTTACTGCGACCGTAGTGGAGCGTCGTAGTTTGACGCACTGGGCTACCGAGGATGATAACGTTGCTCGCTCACATATCCGGCGACCTTTGTTAATGAGCTGTCGTCTGCCTCTGCTCTCAGTAGATGTGATGTATCTTAGGATTGTAGTTCAGAACAGCATGCAGCAGGAAATCCGGATATACAGCGCTGCAGGAACGAGTTCTAAAACCCAGAAATGAGTAAGCCCATTTTGCACTCAATGGGTTTTTTGAATAAGTGTTTGGTTAGATGCATGAAATAAGGTCTGTGGCTAACACAAGCAGATATAAAATACGTCAGTAAATAGCCCTCTCGTAAATGTTGAAGCTTTTACGTGTCTTGAAAAAAGCGGTTGCTAAATGAGACGACTAGTCCGCCATCACACCCTTGTTGTGTTCACTCACAACCGTGGTGTTAAGTTTGTAGCCTAACGTTAGCTTTTTACTTCTGCCGACTCCGTTTACGCTTCAAAAATCAAGAAAGTGGTGTTGATTTGTGAAGATTATCCAAAGTCCAATGGAAGAATCCCATTGGTGTTTTGCCGGGGGAACCAGTGATGTTAACTTCCTGGTTGGCCAACAAAAATCTGCCATCCATCTGCACTCCATTTTTGGAATACTGCATTAAACATACCTTGTATTGGGAGATACTAAATCTTCTTTTGGCATACTAAATAATATGGTATTATGGGTTCTAAAGTAACTTTTAACATGCATAATAGTTCTATCTGATTAGTCTGTTTTCGCCTTGTGACCACAGCAGGTAGATATTAGCTGTTTCCTGATACATCTAAATGTATGTTTTTAATAATGACGTTGTTGTTTATTTGGTGGTTTCACAGAGAAATCACATCAACCTTCAAACTCCAAAGCTGAAGACTTCAGGACGAAAAAACGTAGAGGCACAACAAAAGACAGAGACGCACCACGCAAGTCTCCCTCCGCCTCCTAACGTGTTAAATGTCAGCCGACGCATCGGGCAGATTAACACCAAGCCGACATGGTGTCACAGGGGTGGAAGAGGGGATTCAAACCTGCGGGGTCAGCGTCTACAGTTACACACACACACACACACACACACCTGCTGCAGCATCTTTCCATTCTCTGAGCCCTCTCTGTGACTAGTGATTAATCTGAAAGGGGATTGACTTGTTTAACGGACCACCGGGGAAAAGGTTGATGAGGATCAACTTCATTTTTTTTCAAGCTCTGTGTCCAAAGCCACTCCTCACTTTAATATTAATCATCCGTCGGTAGCCTCATTTTAAGACCCTTCATGCACCAGGAACCTCTCTCGGTTCTACGTCCACCACCGTCAACAGAAGTGCAGATGGTCTGAAAAAGGAACCGTTCCAACATCAGATTTGGAAGATCTGTTTCCGAACACTTTTGCAACTTTTCCGACAGTCACGGCAACTTTGTGTTGGTGATTGGTCGGGTAAGTGGAACCAAACCCACAAAGAAAAAGTGAACAGAAATCAATTAAATAGAAGCAAGTGGAGGAAGAAAAGATACTGAAATCAATCATATCTGATCTATAAAACATTATAAAGTGTTGTAGAAAACCAATACCCTCCTGTCATTGAGCCCCTTTTTAAGCCTGTTGATTGAGGCACCATTTCCTTTGTTCATCATTCATCTGTCTTTGCACAGTTCACACAAGAACCAACACTGGTTTGCCTCTGATCTGGAGGCTTTTTGTCTGGGAGCTCCAAAAACTGTCAACATCCACCAAGAATCTCCCTCTAAGACCTTTTGTTAATATCTATATCAAAGCTACACACATTATTCTGTAACAAATACAAAGATCAGTTACCGCTAAGCAATCTTATTTCCCTTGCTGTGTTCTCAAAATTAAAAAAATGTTTGTTACAAAACATACATTTTCGTTCAAACTGTTTCTCCATCGAGAACTCAAGTTCTGTTGTTTTGTTCTCAAGTCTGATTCAGACAAAGACTCGACTGCGTCTGTTTTTTTCTGTTTTACTAATGGAACAAACTGAGCATCTTCTGGAGGCAGGCAGGTAAATATAAACCCATTAGAGGACTCCCACAGCCTTGAACCTCCATTCAGCCCATTACACACACACGCACACGCACGCACACACACGCACTCTCTAGGATGCTCAGGAAGAACATGAAGAGGTAATGGCACGATGACACGGGCAGAAGAGCCAACCGATGACATTATCGACACAGTATCAGAAGTGGAGGCACTTTACTCACCGACTCCTGCAATTAAATTCAGTCCGTCTTTCTGTCCTTTTGTCTACACTGAACAGAAATAAAAGAATATTACATGTTAAGTTCAACTACCTGCAATAAATATTCACAGAATCACAGTTTGTTTCAGTTTACGAAGTTCTACTTCTGTAACTTCAAAGTACTTTTGGATTTTGTGTCCATATATATATTTTGTGATTATATTGGAAACTTGTGTCCAATATCATCAGTATGTGGTTTGTTGTGTTTAACGTTTAGTATCATGGGATGTAATTAACATTGTCGGGGATTAGGGCTGATTCTAAGCCTACAGCAAGTTACTGTTAGGCTCCTCCCATTAAACATCTATAAGCATTATATGAACATTAAAAATCATATACAATACAGTATCCACTAAAATGTGTATATGAGGGAATGTTTAATTTGTTTATTTGTATGCTGTTTTAGTCAACAATGAGAACTTATATTATTGCACCTGTGATTGACTATATGGTCATGAAATGAACAGATCAGATCTGTGATCAGTTTTCAGTTGCTGTAACTTGTCGTCACATTACTTTGAACCCATTAAATGTAATCTATTACCTTCAAGGCCAATTGCTGCCAATCCCATTAGAGGATTATCAGGATAAGATGTCATACCCGGTGCCCACACACACACACACACACACACACACACACAAATAGTCTCCTGGCTGTCCTGATGCTTTTCCATTGAGATGAATTCAGCGTTGCAATGCTGGGACGTACAGGGCAACAGGTAGGAGTGTGATTTACATTAAATGTAAAATTCTTGCAAAGCAAAGGATTGTTTATTTTAAGTTTTAGCTCACTGGCTCTGTTACCAGTGCTTTAGACACTCACAGTTAACAGTTCACCTTTAGTTTTGTTGTCAAAGTTGCGATGCCATCGTGTGGTGATACAGTTGAAAGCAGGGACTGTTCTGAAAACTTTCTTGAAGTTGCATTTATGGACAAGGAAGCAAGCGCATAGGACGTAGACACTGTGAAAAGAACAACACTAATGTCAGAGAAGATTGTTGATATTGAATGATTTTGCAAAACACGGAAGTTTATATTCAATGACAATGTTTTTTACGTCCAACGGCAGGAATAAAGATTCATAGTATCTAAATTTGGTTATTTCTTTAAGGTTTCTGTGCATCAGCTGACTCTTAAATCTCAGATGTCGGAGCATCCTTGAATGCACCAACAGGGATCGTTTTAATGGTCCTGGGTTTCCATGAACTTTTAGTTTCTTGCATCTGTTTTTTCATGGGAACTTAGGATCCTGGAAACAGGACCCTGTGACTTTAGGACCCTGTAAACCAGTGATTCTCAACTGGTGGGTCGTGACCCAAAAGTGGGTCGCGGACAGTTTTCAGTGGGTCGCGGGCCTTTGCCTGACAAAAAAAATAAAAAATAAAATGTTGTGATTTTATTTTGAAGGGCATTTTTTATGCAGCGGAATTATTCCAGCATTTACGGCACTTGTTCAGCGGTGCAGGAAAAACACCGACCAATGCGTTGTGAATCACATCACGTGATGCAGCTCATCCAATCAAATATGGGCATTCTGACAAGTTTCCTGACTTGAGTGAGATGTACACACACCCTGACACAGGGGGGAGAGACGAGGATATAAACAGCGGAGCAGGACCTGTTGAGGTGTGAGTTGAGTAAGTCAAATCATAGGATGATCTCCAAAAGAGAGAAATGTCCAGAGAGACCAGAGTCATTAGACTCTGACTGGACAGACTCGTATAGGTGAATTCTTCCAACACTAATTTCTCTTTTTAGAAGATGAGAAAAATATAATATTGTGGCTTTTTCACTTCACACTGAATGAACTGAATTTAAAGCTGCAGGGCAATTCAGTGAAAACAATTTTTCTAAAATGAATTCTGTTACGTAATTAAATTTTTAATCCAGCCGTTATTTTACTTGAAATGAGAAGAACATTTATTCATGTATTTCTATGTATTATTTATAATCCATCCAGTTAAATTTGAAAACTGAGAATAATATTCGTTGAAATATAATTGATGTGTACTTTCTTTATTTGATTTGGCAGTTCTTTACTACACAGAGACGTTACTACTACTAGAGTTCTTGAATATAGATATACCCAAATTATATATATATATATAATTTGGGTCGTGGGTCGCGGCTTGTCATTAAGGGGTGATGGTGGGTCCCGCAGCCAGACCAGTTGAGAACCACTGCAGTAAACCATAGGACCCTGGGATCATTGGACCCTAGAAACATAGGACCTGGGAACTTATGACCATTGAAACAAAGGACCCTGAATTTAGGACCCTGTAAACCATATGAGCCTGCAAACATAGGTCCCTGGGAACATATATACACTCCCGTTTTGGTTTGAATAGGGTCTTAATTTACCCAAGATGTAAAGTAGATTTGTCCCACAAATGAACAAATTTGAAATCTTGAAGTTGTCCAGTACGTTTGTGTTTGTGGCATACATTGTCAAAAGTATGTGTAAATGTGATCCAGACTTTGTTTCTGCTCTTCAACAGTTTGTTTCAACTGAAGTGGAAGATTGAACCAGCAGGTCTGAACTTTTCCTTTGACCCGGCTGGGACCGTAGCAGGATCTGGGGCTTGGTTTAGATCTGGTTTAGAAGGACCATCATTCCTGTCTAAAACTACTCTTTTCATGTCAAAGAGGTTTCTCTCTTCAAGAACTTCAAGGCTTGCTGGTAAAATCATAATGATGTAAAGTAAACTGCTCCTCTCATTGATTGTAACCGTGTTTCCTGGGCTAAAAGTTAACAAGACTTTCAGAGATCTCTTCCTCTACCAATCCAGTGAATGTTAAAGCACTAGTCTATGGGCCACTGAACCAGGTTGAGCACCTTCATAGAAACCTGGCTGGGATGTCACAGAGTTTGAAGAGGGAGAACCGGATTGTGTTTAAGTCACAATTCATGGACAATAAAATCCATGGACTTCATCTGTTTTGTACATTTTTTTCCCCGTCCTACAAACCAAGTGTAACTTTGGGTGAAGTCTGGACCTCAACTTGTAGCTATGACATCTGACCTTGATGTTGATCAGCTAATTCAAACCGATGACTTCACTTGAAGTTGCTGTGGATCAAAATAAAAATCAGCAACAATCAGTGAGGGTGAGTTACTGAATGTTTAGGATGAAGTGGCGATCCATTCTACTAACCTTTGTCTTACTGACCCGCCGGTGTCACCATGTCACCGGTGACTTTGCGGCCTCTGATGAACGTCCAGACGTTGGACACGATGAGGACGTACACCCCAATACCTTCACAGAAAATAACGGGGATGTACTGGACATGAACATCCAAACAAGCATGGATGTAGCAGACACAGACTTTGACACAAACTGGGACACAAACAAAGACAACTATGAGGACGCTGACTGGCATCCTCTTCCCTTCCTCCTGGAAACACACTCCGACCTGTCAGCGAACTCCCCACCATTCATACGCAGCAGCGACACCGGTGTTAACGACAGAACCAACCAAAGCTTCAACCGGACTATTGTCAGTTCATCGACACAGTGCGGCGAGTACAGCAGCCAGCTGACGTCTAGTGGCCAGTGCCGGCTGATGGCCACGCTGCCTCCGGTGCCGGTGGGAACGTCGCAGCAACGCTGCCCGGATATGTTCCGCTGCACAGACGACATCTCATATTGGCTCCACGAGAACCAGAACAGAAAGGAGCAGCTAGAGGAGCTGAGGGAGACGATGTCAGAGCTGCAGGAGGAGCTGAGGAACCACCGCCATCGAGTCAAGTCCCTGGAGGTGCAGGTACACGGCCGTACACTAGTTCACAGTTTGTCTCTGTTAGAATGAAATGGCAGCTTTTCACTTTCTTAAAGAAATAGTTGGACATGTTATAAATAGAGTCCTGCAGGACTGAGTCTTAACACCTGAAAATGATGTAGAATTCTTTGACATCAGGTTCCCTCGTCTCAAAGTCAAAGAGGTTTTTAATGGGATTTTGGTTAGTAGCCTGAAATGAGGTCTGTGGTTAACACAAGATTAAGAGATTTACTCTATAAGTTTTGTTCTACAACATAAAATTCACAAGTAGATACCTCTAGAGTCGACTCAATGATTGATAATGATACATTTATCTATATTTTATAATTCAACACGTTTTACGTCGGATTAAAGATCTGTTTAGTATTATTCATCTCTTCAAACCCCTTTCTTTTTACAGTTTTATTTTACTACGCATCCCTCTGGAGGCTTGATGTCTGTCCAGCACTTTGGTCCAGAGTGATGTATCTGAAAAGCTTTACGTCAGATTGTCATAAACGTTTGCACAGATATCCGTGTTCCCCAAAAGATTAATACCAATTATTTTGGTGATCCCTTGAGTTTTTATCTGGCATCAACAACAGGCCACATGTCCAGTCGGCCTCAGTTGTACTTTGATATTCACGCTAACGCACTGCCTCACAAGCTAAATGCTTTTAGCACTGAAACTGAACAGAAACAATACAGGCAATGCTACAAACACTAACAATAACTGTGATAATGTACACATACATGCAGTTTATATTTTATAGGGGCAAAGATTATTGGGACACCCTCCTCTCTCTCTGTCTCTATTTATCTTTGTCTGTCTTTATCTCCCTGTATTGACACCCACTAAGTCCTCCTTAACCCTGAATGCTAACAGGATTAGCAGCAGGCCTTTTGGTCTGCCTGACCCAGAGAGTATTTTTCTGGGCTGGAGTGTCTCGGGGGCCACCCTTTGGTCAAAGTCGAGTTAAGACTGCTGTCTGATATTTGCTTGTTTTTGTAAATGTTGCCATTGTTTGCTGACGAAAGTCCTAGTAGAGGAATGCTTTCCCTTCCCTTTGAGCATATAAGCTACTCAATGGGCTAAATGTACCTACTTGTGTGTCCTGTAATTGTAAAGTATTCATATTGGTGATCCGACATCTTGGTAATTTAATTTATTGTACCACACAAATGAGGCAGTAGCAAAATCCTGCCAAAATGAAGACAAACAAAATAACCAAAATTATAGTTTCTGTATCCACGAGTACGCATTCATCCGTGTGCTGTAAATTTCATCTTCAGACGGCGTATAGGCTCTTTGTAGTACCTCCATTTTTTTTGAGAAGTTTAAGAGAACAGACTATGATAAACAGACTACATACAGACAGCTTTAGCTTAAGCTTGTTTGTAAAAAAACAACAACATTTGGCTGATCGGGTGAGAGACTGCTGACAGAGTTGATTGAATTAGGTTTCACTTTTGCTTACATGGTCATGCTTGTTGAATAGTGTCTATGTGTGTGTTTAGTTGGAGGAGCTCAGCCCGACAGTGAGAGCTGAGATGAGCACTGCAGTGTGATAATGAATTACACCTAAACATTAAAAAGGAATAATAAAAAAAGAACAGAAACGTCAGAGTTTATTAATACTCCCCTAATTTAGCACCTGGGCCTGTTTGATACCATGTATTTGGTACGGATCTCTACCTTTAGGTAACGTAAGAACGCGAATGGCTCTCCCAAGAGCCAGCGTTCAGTTTGTCCATTCTAGAAACATGGAGGTGCAAGATGGCGGACCTGTGGAAGACGATTATGCATTAATTAAAACGTAGTTCTGAATATTATATTACATTTCTGCCAATTAATCCCCCTAAATGTTACACACTGTCCCTTTAACCTCAACCACCCAATATATTGGAAGACGTGTTTGGAAGTTTAAACCACATATTTAAATATATTTACAAATAAATTGGTTTGAAAGATTTAAAAAATACACTTTGTAGATGCATTGAGCATTCCTTTGAAATTGTACCGCTTACTTCCTTTTTTAGGGCCCCATTGTTTACAACAGGAGAACAACGTCAAACCTCACCAACTCTTCTGTGTTTTTAACTCTCAGGGTGAAGAAAGAGTTAGTGTAGAGTCGCCCTTCGACCAGCGCCTGCATTCTCTGGAGTTGCGTCACACCGAGGCCGACACGCTGCTCCTGGTGCATGCGGCGCTGCTGTATGAGCTGCAGACGCAGCTACGCAACCTCTCGGCCGCCGCCGCCGCGCAGCGCATGAGCCGCAACACGGGCTGCGCCATCAACGTCGTCAGAACGACGCCGCTGCTCGGCACGCGAGACACACTGCCACCAGGTACACATGCAACCGACACAGTGGTGAGTTGCATGAATTGCGTGTTGCATGATGAGGTTCATGCAACCTAACTGGAACTTTTTAACCCAATCAAAACGACACACAGCAGCAGTGTGTTGCTGCAGGGCATTCAACATGTATTTGACTTTACCGTACAAAAATCTGATTTTGCAGCCTATGTTTTGTTAACAGTTAAAGGTGCAATGTGTAAGAAATAGCCACATAATCCGAAGAAAGGGGACGAGAAAAAATAGAAATGAGAAAACAACTTGTTACGTTTTCATTTTTCATTTCATCCTCCCCTCCACTAGTCCGGAGGAGAGCGTGCAGCAGCTACCGGAGGCGTTATAATGAATCCCATTGCTCTTCTTGGCAAGACTCCGCCCTGTACAGCATTCAAGTGCTAGGATTGGCCGGGAGTCCAAGCTCCCCGAGGTCCCGATATCCTGATTTGTTCGGGTCCTATGTCCCGACCAATGGGCTATCCTGACCCTAACTACTCAAGGTCAATACCTCAACTTAACCAATTGTCTCTGCCTAAACCAGCTTTGCAAGGCGGGTCTTGCCAAGAAGAGCGGTGGAATTCATTATTATATTAACCATCACAATGTGCGATCAGGACATCGCCATTTGTGCTTTTCTCGTTGCCGATCTCTGATAATGTTACATTGTAAACAACCGATCCGTGTTTAAATTGACAGGAGGAGAGCTAGTAGCGTTAGCAGCACCGCTAACGGCTAACCAACAGAGGTTCCCTTAAGTTACATTATGATGCGTTCAGGCTGTTCAGTGAAAATTAGTATCATGTAAAGGAAAATTATAATGTCAGTATGTAAGTGCAATGTTTTCTAACTAACTAATTAAATGTAGTGTTGGTGAGAAACTTGAATAAATCCAGTTGTTTGATGGATGTTTTCACAGCAACATAAATAGAATTATAACCTGTTTACACACATTATAAAAACTGCTAATGACAACATTTTAACAACTCAGGATTTCACAGTTTCATCATTAGTTGACCGTTTCATGTCTCTCTGTCTCCGTCCCTCAGATGGGCCGCGCTTGTCTTTCTGTCCATCCGACTGTGCGTCTCTGTATTACAACGGTGTTCGTCATTCCGGTGTTTACACCATCATCCAGTCGCCAGGCATTGCCCTGCCCGTCTACTGCGACATGGAGACCGAGGGTGAGACACACACTCGCGTTATCTAGTACAAGGTATTGACACAAAGACAAATTTCTTCTTCGTGTGTGCTCCAGGCGGAGGCTGGACTGTGTTTCAGCGGCGGCGCGGCGGCCTGGTGAGTTTTAACCGCGGCTGGTCGGAGTACCGCGACGGCTTCGGCGAGCCACGAGAGGAACACTGGCTGGGCAACCAACAGCTCCACCTGCTGTCCAACCAGGGCCACTACAGCCTCCGCATCGAGCTGCACGACTGGAGCCACGCCCACAAACATGCCCTGTACCACAGCTTCAGGTAGTCAGACCGGATGATGTAGATGAGTTGGTTGTACTTAGCTCCACCCCCTTGTGTCCCTTCTGGTTGCAAAAAAAACCAAGATGGCGACAACCAAAATGTTGAACTCGATGCTTCAAAACAGTAGTCCACAAACCAATGGGTGACACTTCTATTGTAACATGTAGAGGACAGTCAGGGGGCTGCAGGACAAGTGGATCTCTCCACTCTTATGGTTTCCTCTCCTCCTCATGCAGGATAGAGAACGAGGAGAACCGGTACCGCCTCCATGTGTCTGGTTTCAGTGGAACGGTGGAGGATTCGTTCGGTTGGTACCACGACCAGCACGACTTCAGCACGCCAGACACTGGCAACATCTGTGCCGAGATCAGCCACGCCGGCTGGTGGTTCCACCAGTGTTTCTACACCAACCTCAACGGCGTCTACTACAAGGTCAGAGACAACATGCCACTAGATTTTGTAGGACTCAGGTTTATAAATATGTTAATTGTGAAACACCCTTTGTTTCCACCAGGGGGGGCGCTACTCTCTGAAAGCTCAGAACCTGCTCGGGCCGGATGGCATCGTCTGGTTCTCCTGGAAGGAGTCAGACTTCTACTCTCTGAAGGAGGTGACCATGATGATGCGACCGTGCAACTTCAGGCCGCGCTTGTCGCCATAGCTGAAGCCCTGCTTGCAGCTTTCTTAGGACTGCTAGCTGCCTCCAGGGGCTGCCAGAACTCCCACGTACCAAATTATGTATTAATACACTGCTGAAAATAGTCCCCAACAAATGCACTTTTTATGCTGTATGAGTAAACTAACTATAACTGTAAGTACTTTGATTTCTCAGCATATATCCAGCGCCTTTAATGTCACATTTAGAGGCTCATAATCATTACGGACTTCTTCTGCTTCGTCTGTTGCACCAGTAAAGACACTGATGTCAAAGTGTTACGTCTACACCTTTAAGGGTCCATGCACAGACCCTGGTTCACCCACAATAAGTGATTTCACTCTCTTTGGATGATTCGAGTGTATCACAGGAGGGTGCAGACTGATCCTCCCTCTCTTGGAAACTTTGTTGCACCTGTCAGGGTGGAGCAATCTACAGCTTTATCATTCTTATTGGTGCATGGAGTCTGCTGACTGCACAAAATTCCCCGCAAAGCTCTCTTTAGCTTCCACCTGAGCAGAGGTCTTATAAGCAAGCATATGTGCATTTTAATACAGAACTTTTAAAACACTCCTTGTGCTTTTTGGGAGAATATCCAATATATATATATATATATATATATGCAGAGTTATATGAGAAGATCTATAAAGACACGTTTAAACTCGGGGGATATTTGGAGGTAGGAAAGATGTTTTGGAACAAATTAAAGTTAGTATGCTTTACCTCACTTTTTACTCATTGTAGATGTCTAGCTTTAGAGGATTTTCTTTTTGCAGTTGAACACAACACACACATTTACATATAATTATTTATTAATAGTTACAGGTATTCATTGATACATCTACAGGACTTCCCAAAGTCACATCAGTGTGAATTGAGGCAAGTTGTTTTCTCAGCTGTGCAACCTGCACAGGTGAATGACTTGTCAAACATTCTTCACAGAAATATGTAAATTCAGCCAGACGTCGTGCTGCTGTTGTTGTTGTTGTTGCTGTGTGTTGAAGATTGTTGGGTGGAGGGTTATTATGTGGGGCGCTCCCTGGGGCGGGTGACGTACTGCCACCACAGAGGGGGGAGGTCTCCCTCAATGCGGGCGGGAGGGAGGGCTTCGGTCTTGGGGCCTCCGGCTGAAGTCTCAGCCTGCAGCTGGGCGACCTGGAACCAAGATCAATTGTGACGATTAACGTGCTGAACCAAACATGCAAGTATCATAAACGTCTGTTTGCCACAGAGCTCATTTTCTGCACTGATCAAAGTACCTTAAATATTAAAAGGGTATAAATAGGTAGGACTATAATGGCTATTTTGCTTCTTGTAAAGCGCAAAGACGAGGCGACACGGTGGAATGTAAAACATGTGATGTGTAGACGGACCGGGTTCTGAAACGCTCACCTCTTTGTCCCAGCTCTGCATTCTCAGTTTCTTCCACTGCTCCCTCTTGGAGAAGTAGTCGGGGTACATGGCCTTCTCTGAGGGGTGCCAGTGGTCCAGCACCCACTCTGGGACCTGCAGGAACAGAGCGGAGCTCAGGACGTTACATTACGATCGTCTGCATCTTCCTGTCATTATTCTAATCTTAAATAAGTACATTCAAGTGTTCCTTTTCTTTGCTAAAAACTCGCTCAAGATTTGAGGACAGAATTTGTCAGATAATGTGACGTAGATGGTTGTAGTTGCACACCCCTTACATCTCCAGCAGAGGGCAGTAACGACTCAATAGACCACATAGTGCTGCATGTCGATATCGTCACATTGCTGTGAACATTTTATGAAAAGTTTAAGGTTGTGTTTGAAACATCCCTCGGCTTTATGTTACAGAAAAAAAGGGAAAAATGTGAAACAGCTTACAAACCTATTGTAGCCTCACAGAGACGTTTACAGGAAAACTCTCAAACTAATAAGTTCAAATAATTGTGTTGTTTTCGTGTCTCAAGTTGTGAGCTTCATAAAGTAAGAGATAAAATACTGAAGAAGAAGAAATGTGTATCCACAGGATAACATCCAGACGCAGCCCGTGACACCCTGCCTCACCTTGTAGCACTCGTATCTCTCGTAGGACGTCCCGCCGGGGGAGTCGGGGAAGATGTAGGGCTGAGGGTGTTGGTTGGCCCAGAACTCCTCCTCTCCCGACTTCAGCATCATGGTGGCCTTCACCATGTCCTTCTCGTCCTTGCTGTCATCGAAACGAGCTCGCATCATGCAGGCGTAGAACCTGTATTTGTCTCTGTAACAATAAAAAAAAAAACAGTTACACGTCTTAAACCATACAAATGAGAGTGCAGAGAGAGACTCAGATGTGTCCTGTTACCGCAAGACTTCTAGTGCAGATACAGCGTGAACATGACACAAACAAAATCATCATGTGTGCCAATTGTTTCAGAAGAAACACGACAGTGCGTTTCCTGTTTACACTGTAACATCGAGAAGCTTGACAATGTCGAAGTTGTTCTTGATTCTTCTTCACAATTCTTGTCTGCAATGTAACGTCTGGGTATAACTCCATGTAACTTTTAACTCAAAACCCTAAATACTGGTCTCACATGCCCAGTATGGTTCTGGCTCTATTTGTTTTTTTCTCTGTTGTTTTTATTACAATGTGTAACTTATTCTCAGATATTATAAATTGTATATTGACCACATCTAGAGTGAATAACTTCATTCATTTTTGACTAATATATATATATATATATATATATATATATATACACTATACTATACTATACCTACCATACTTAACTATTACTTACTTAAACTGAACAGCATTTGACAAAAAAAAAGAATTAATCAGTTCATCATCTGGAACAGAGTTAATAGCTTGATTAATTACTTAAGTAATAACAATAATAGATTTCACAGAACAGTGTTTGGAGTGGTGAGCAAATGAGAAGTGAGATTTCTCACTAAGTGAATTCCTAAAATGTAAACTCTCTTAATGTATATAATGTATGATGATTTCTGTATTTATCTATTCAGATCTATTAGACTAGATTTGTAAGTTTAGCTGTTAGCTATAAGGCTATAACTCGACTGGAATGGGTGACCTGGCTAGCCGTTAGCTTAGTTTAGCTGGTTAGCTTAGCAGCACAGCAAACACAGACTGTCTACGGTACAGCAGCGACGTGTTATGTTCTTATTTTCGCGGTTCTTAAACGAAGACAAGCTCCTCCTACCTGAAGATGCACCATGACTCCAGGTGTCGAAGGGATTTCTTGTAAAGCCGCAACACCTTCTGGTGGTGAGTGAGATAGGCAGTGGCCATTTTCACCGTCCCCTGTCACCTTCTCGGTGAGCGGCGCGGTGGATTCTGGGACTATGTGGCGTGTGGACGTTATTACCGTAAGTGCACTTAGAATGTGCAAACGTATTTTCTTGGATGTTTATTTTGTCCCTTTTTTCCCACAATTTAATCACAGATGTTAGTAATAACGGCTAACTACAACCAAACGCGCTCCATATTATCTTTCGTCTAGAACCTTTGGAGAGCAGGGAAAGTAACAAAAAAGCTAACTATACCAATAATGGGATTGCTCTCAGTTACAGTACTTACGGTATTGACGCATTATGGGATTGGTGAGAGCTGCATGTGTGGTTCTTTTTAGAAGTATTGCTCTTACAAACATGGCTCAGCACAAATTCATCGGTGAGACACTTGTGTTTGATGTTTACATTACATGACAGAAAGAGAAGGTTAGATGAGAGTCAGTGCATGCTGGTAATGGTGGTAAACAGACAAGCATGTGTGTTTTGAGTTAGCATGGGAGCTAGTTTGAGTTAGCCCTGCTGAGAAATGACAACACAGCAGTTACTAACTGTACAGATGTGTGCACGAACATGTCAGATGGTTTGATTTTGGTTTAAAACATTTCACAACTCCTGATGACAGCTTATACATCAGCAACAGGTACTGTGCTTGGCATTAAAGTGAATGCAGATAGAGTCAAGAAAGGTGGTGGTTGCACAGTATTAGAGTGGGAATCAAACCCTCAACCCACTGGGAAATTGAAGCCTTAACCATGTGCAGGTTTATATGACTGGCTCATGATCATGCACTTTAAAAAATGCTTGTAGTTTTACATATTTACAAGCAGCTGAGATGACATGATGAACAATAGGAGTTAAAATGTGTACTGAGATGAGAAGTTGATCAATTATATATATATATTATTTCAAGAGGCGATATTCCAGCAGGATCACTGTATCATATCATAACTATATCATAAGAGAATATCAGTCAAAATGCACGATCCAAAATGAATCACAACATGTTTGGTGAAATATTTCAGTATCGATAACTTCCATCCTCCCCCTTTCAGATATCGGTGTGAACCTCACCGACCCGATGTTCAGAGGACTCTACAGAGGGAAGCAGAAGCACGACGGTGAGCTACGCATTTACTTTTGGCTTGTGTGCTGTCGAGACTAGTTAACCTGAGACCAGTTAACCCGAGACTAGTTAACCCGAGACTAGTTAACCCGAGACCAGTTAACCCGAGATCAGTTAACTTGAGACTAGTTAACCTGAGACTAGTTAACCTGAGACCAGTTAACCCGGGACTAGTTAACCTGAGATCAATTAACCTGAGACCAGTTCATTTGAGACTAGTTAACCTGAGACTAGTTAACCTGAGACCAGTTAACCTGAGACCAGTTAACCCGAGACTAGTTAACCCGAGACCAGTTAACCTGAGACCAGTTAATCTGAGACTAGTTAACCTGAGACTAGTTAACCTGAGATCAGTTAACCTGAGATCAGTTAACCCGCGACGAGTTAACCTGAGACCAGTTAACCTGAGACTAGTTAACCTGAGACCAGTTAATCTGAGACCAGTTAACCTGAGACCAGTTAATCTGAGACTAGTTAACCTGAGACCAGTTAACCTGAGACTAGTTAACCTGAGACCAGTTTACCTGAGACTAGTTAACCTGAGATCAATTAACCTGAGATCAATTAACCTGAGACTAGTTAACCTGAGACCAGTTTACCTGAGACTAGTTAACCTGAGACCAGTTAATCTGAGACTAGTTAACCTGAGACCAGTTTACCTGAGACCAGTTTACCTGAGACCAGATAATCTGAGACTAGTTAATCTGAGACGAGTTAATCTGAGACTAGTTAACCTGAGAMYAGTTAACCTGAGAACAGTTAATCTGAGACTAGTTAACCTGAGACCAGTTTACCTGAGACCAGTTTACCTGAGACCAGTTAATCTGAGACCAGTTAACCTGAGACCAGTTAACCTGAGACCAGTTTACCTGAGACTAGTTAACCTGAGACCAGTTAACCTGAGACCAGTTAACCTGAGACTAGTTAACCTGAGACCAGTTAATCTGAGACTAGTTAACCTGAGAACAGTTAATCTGGGACCAGTTAATCTGAGACCAGTTAACCTGAGACTAGTTAACCTGAGACCAGTTGTGATTTTGTGACAGATGACTTCAATGAGATCATTGACAGAGCTCTCAGAACCGGAGTCGAAAAGGTAAGCCACGTCTCCATTATTACTTTTGGTTTGACTGAAATATCTCAATAGCTGTCAGATGGATTCTCATGAAATTTAGTGCAGACATTCATGGTCCTCAGAGGATGAATCCCACTGACTTAAGTGATCCTCTGACTTTTTCCTCTTGCACCATCATGAGGTCGACGTTTGTGATTTTGAGGGAAATGTTTCAACAACCATCGGACGGACTGCACTGAAAGGCGCTTGTGTTCCCTTTAGCATTAAATAGTAATAACTGTGGTGATCCGAGACTCTTAAGTCTTGTTTTTGAACACCGAAAAGCCATTTCGAATTTTTGTCTCATAAGTAATGTAAAACCTGTCGCTTTGTTCCAGTTTATGATCACAGGAGGAAACCTCGAAGACAGCAAGGAGGCTCTTAAACTAGCCGAGACCAGAGGTAATGAAAACCACGACAAAAGACGTGTTGTGGATTTCTTTGTGGGCTTTTTACGATGGTATCGCAGAGCCTGGTGCACGACCTCAATGTGAATTCATGAGTCCAGTTCTTCAGGAGCAGAATCAACCAAATCTGCCTGATTCTGTCCTCTGTGCTCCACCTTTACACTCGCTCCCTGTGTGTCGTTACAGATGAGTTCTACTGCACGGTGGGCTGCCATCCCACCCGCTGCAGTGAGTTTGAACAGAATGGTGAATCCCAGTACCTCTCAGGGTTGAGGGAGCTGGTGACGGCGCACAGAGGAAAGGTGGTGGCCGTCGGAGAGTGTGGACTAGGTGGGTGCTGGTGACGGTGTTGCGTTTGTGCAGTAATAATTTAACAAAAGATATAAAACACAAAAGGAAACAAATTTTATCCACAACAAATTTGACACTTGTGGCTCTTAGCTTTTTTTATACAACTACATCAGTGTGTATTCTTCTATAGAATATAAATATGATATCAAATATAAAGTCTCCAGTGTCCTGAGTGTGGGAGTAGGATGTGCGGATCGTAACATTAAGAGTTTCCATTGTTTAATGAGACTGTAATGTGTCTTTTCTCCCTGTTACAGATTTCGACAGGTTGCAATTTTGCCCAAAAGAGACTCAACTCAAGTAAGTTTATTTGTCTCTATTGTTTATTAAAGACCTGGAGGTTGACGCCTGGCTACGTGTAACAATTGTTTTCATCACAAACTAATCTATTGATAACTTGGTTGAGAAATTGTTAAATTGTTTGTCACAAAAGTTTGAAGAAGCCCTTAAATACTCTCTTCACTGTTTCCTCTCTTCGCTTGTTCTGGTGTGGAACAGATACTTTGAGAAGCAGTTTGATCTGGCAGAGGAGACCCAGCTGCCGATGTTCCTCCACTGCAGGAACTCCCATCAGGAGTTCATCGGTAGGTTTGTTCACTCAGGACCTGGTGTGGTTTTTATTGTTATACAAAGCATTTTACTGTTTCTTTGTCTCTCTTTGACAGACATCATGAAGAGAAACCGAGACAGATGTGTTGGAGGAGTGGTGAGGACATTTGTTTTACACTTTATGATATTCTTCAAAGTTAACTGTCTGGTAGAAAGTATACAAGAGAGGAAGACACTTTAAAGTGTTTCACTAAAAGGGATTCAAACTTTACTACTTTGCGGTTTTTACTGATTTTGTTTGAAGTTTTTGATTTTCCAAGATGTTGTGGAAGCTGTCTGACATTTCTTCTTTAAATGAGCTGTTTAAGTCCTCCGTGTGCATTGTGCATTGCATTGTGGGATCCTGGGTAATCTCCAGTTTACAGGAAGTGATGCATTTAATAGACACACGTTCCAATAAAACTTACTGCAGAAGGATCTCAGACATCTTCACTCATTACAAGATGTCTGTAGGAAATATTTGGAGAACGTTGCTTTCACATTTGAAAGAAATAGAAACGTAATTCAATGGAATGGTAGTTTGCCACTAATGTAATTATTATGGTAAAGAAAGAAGAAATTAATTCACTAAAGTTGGAGACGAAACTATGATCCAGCTGATTACCTGAGAGTTTTATTATTTCAGGTCCACTCGTTTGACGGGACGGCAGAGGACGCGGCTGCCCTCATTGACCTTGACCTCTTCATTGGAATAAATGGATGGTGAGAGGATGTAGTGTTTCACCTGAACTGAACCCGAAGACTTGACCCGACATGAACCACATGTGGACTCAGCTCCACATCTGGTCTACAATGTTGGATTCAGTGTATCATGCTAAATAAAACTTGTCTAAACTATGGAAGCCCATTCCCGCCAGCAAAAAAAAAAATAAAAACCACCCCAAAAAAACATTACTTTCTTTTGGGGTCATTTTTTTTGTGGCAGATTTTTTTTATTATTATTTTTGGGTGGATTTCTTTATTTATTATTTTTGGTTGGATTTCTTTATTTATTTATTTTTTGGTGGATTTTTTATTATTATTATTTTTGGGTGGATTTTTTTTATTGTTATTTTTGGTTGGATTTCTTTATTTATTTTTGGGTGGATTTTGTATTTATTTATTTTTGGGTGGATTTTTGTTTTTGTTAATAATAATTATTAATAATAATAATTCAATGAAGGGGAGTGTTTTAATGTATTCTGTATTTAAAGCAACATGACTCATCAAATATTTAATTTTTGTTTTTTATTTGCAACTATGTGAACAATACAGCGCTGATATAATGTATTATTTATATTATCTAACAAAGAAAAATCAGTTCAGCTCTGTGTTTCACAACATCATTTTGTTATTATTTATTTATTTTAATACTGCATGTTAAACAGTGTTTATTGTTATTTCTATTTTTCAGTTCCTTGAAAACAGAGGCCAATATTGAAGCCATGAAGTCCATCCCCACTGAGAGGCTCATGATAGAAACGGGTGAGATGCCTTCAGTTTGTTTTAGTATAAAAGGTATTTGATATAGATATTAAAGAAGATAATGATATTGGAGAGCATACACAAATGCTCATCATTACACAAAAGATCTGGATGTTTGGTGCGTCATATTGCTGTTTGACAGTTATTAATGCGTTCATCATACCTTCCTGCTCCTTCCCAGATGCTCCGTGGTGTGGCGTGAAGAACACGCATGTAGGCTCCAAAAATGTAACAACTACATTTCCCACAAAGAAGAAGTGGGAGGCGGAGCATTGTCTGAAGGACAGGAACGAGCCCTGTCACATCATGTGAGTAACGTTGAGGTGGATTCTCTGCAGAACTCACTCGATAAATTCATCAGTTTGCAAGCGAGCCAACATCAACGTTCTTCAGTCCAAAAGCTGATGCATAGATTTCACTATTTCTCTCGTCCAGACAAGTGTTAGAGGTGATGGCTGCAGCGAGGGAGGAGGAGCCGCTGGAGCTCGCCAACGCAATCTACAACAACACCATCAAAGTCTTCTTCAGCTCCAGCTGATGACGAAGCACGCTCAACCTTCAGGAGACCGACTGAAACGATCTTCATCAATGTGTGTGTGTGTGTGTGTGTGTGTGTGTGTGTGTGTGTGTGTGTGT